AGTAGAAATTGCTATAGATATAATTCTTTAATCTTTTACTTATTAGTAGTTTTTATTTTACTAGTAATAAATGTATATACTGTTTTCCCCAAATCCTGTCTCTCTTTTGTCTGCAAATACCTTCTCTCAACTAGTGGTAATTATGTGGGGGGTGGAAAGCAAAATTGACCCAGAGCAAAACCACGACAAACTGTTTCGTGGCTGCTGGAGGGAGGATATGTTTTAGGTAAAAAGAACAAAAATAACTCCTTCAATGTGTTCCCTCAGTACAAGCTGGAAACATGACTAAAATATCTCTCTGGTGACCAGTGACAGCCCCCAGGGAATGGCTGGAGCTGTGTCAGGGCAGGCTCAGGCTGGATCTCAGCAAAAGGTTCTTCCCCCACAGGCTGGTTGGGCACTGAACAGGCTCCCCAGGGCAGTGGGCACAGCCCCAAGGCTGCCAGAGCTGCAGGAGGCTTTGGATGATCCTCTGGGGCACAGGGGGTGACTCTTGGGGCTGGGCCTGTGCAGGGCTGGGGGTTGGACTGGATGGTCCTTGTGGGTCCCTTCCAGCTCAGCATATTCTGGGATTCTGTGATCCTGTGCTGAGAGGTTTGGGTGCCACACAGAGAGTGAAAGCCAGGCAGTAGAGCTCCAAGAGTTCCCTGGGATGTGAACAGAGGGGGGTTTGTGTGTCCATGGAGCTGAGCTGCTTGTTGAGACACCAGAACTTCACTGGGAGGTGTGAGGTGCCTGCGTCAGTCCCCTATTCCTTCACTCTCATCAGTCACGTTGATGAAATGCTTGGCCAAAGAGATAAAACCCTGGAGCCTTCCCACATCAGCTTCCAGCTCCCCAGAGCAGCTGTGGCCGCCCCAGCCCTGGGAGTGTCCAAGGCCAGGTTGGACGGGGCTTGGAGCAACCTGGGCTGGTGGAAGGTGTCCCTGCCTGTGGGAGGGGGTGGAATGAGCTTTAAGGTCCCTTCCAACCCAAACCACTGCACAGTTCTGTGATTATGACATCAGACACTTCCATGGGCAGCACAGAGTGGGAACCCTGGTGCCCTGTGAAGGGTGAGACTTGTCTCCTCAGGACAATTCAGATTTTGGGTGTGGTGAGTCTCACCCAAGTGACAGGAGACAAGGGTTTGGTAAAGAAACATCACACAGAGTTGAGTCCTGTAGTGCCTCTGGCTCCACCTTCAGAAAGGGTCCAGAATACTTTCAGCCTTACACTGTTCCAGCATGACTGCACTTCATCTTCAAAATGGCCTCTAAATTGTTCACTAATTATCTGCAAAATTTCACCCTTCTAAGCTTTGACTTGGAGGAAAAATGCTGATATTTTGATGTTTATTACTAGACTATGTTAGAAAAGTAAATCACTCTGTTAAAGGGATATTAAAGGGGAGAGTGGTTTCCCCCACATACTAAATGAACAGAAATTCTAAGTATCTCTAAATGTCAATAACATTATGCAACCATTTGTGTACCTGACTTCATAAAACTGAATTTATTTGTGCATTTGATATAAATCCATCTTAAGATAACACAGCTGAGACATGTGCTGACATCTTGGTTTGCTTTTGGGTTTATCTATGGAACGACTGACAAAACAGGACCTGAAAGGGGTGATGAGATGTTTCTTCTTTCCCCTCCCCACCAGCCTTTTTTAGGTTTGCCCTCACACTGCTTTTATCTTCAAAGTGTCCCAGAAATGCAGTGCAATGTCAGAGCACAGGTAAACAAATCCAGCCAGGAGCCTGACTCACTTATTTATGGCTGGAATGTGCAGGTTTTGTATTGATGTTGGCAAGTCCTAACTGGAACAGTCTTGCTGATTCCAGTGGCACTCAGGGAATCTCAAAATGAACTGTACAACTGGAACATTAAAACCAGTGTGGGAGAGCAGGGAACTCATTCTGTCCTGGATCCCATATGGGATAAGGATGCCCTTATGGTTTAACAGTATCTATGCCTGAATAGAAAATCATTTGCTCCAACAAACACCTTTCCTAAGGCAGACTGAGAGTCCAGATGGACTGGCAGGCACATCTGCAGGGCTGGCCCAGCTCTGGCTCCTCAGCACAGCAGGGCCAGGGAGCTCCTGGAAGGTGACTCTCCTACAGAGATGCCCAAGGGCTGCAGCATCTCTGGGAGCAGCAAAGGCTGAGGGAGCTGGGGCTGTTGAGCCTGCAGAGCACCCCCTGAGAGGGGCCCTCCCCAGGGTGTGTCAGGGGCTGCAGGGAGGGGGCAGAGGATGGCCCAGGCTCTGCTGGGGGGGCC